TCAGGTTCATGCTTTTCATGCTGCTGGACGTACAGTCCCAAATCAGAAGAAGTTGGCATGGTATGTAAAATCAAAATTAAAACTGAAAATAGTGATTTGTAAATCAGCTGTGCAGCACATTATTTGATGTGATACCTCATCAATTTTAATCTTTGTTCAAAATAAATATTCATTTCAATCCTGATGCCTGCAACACCTTCCAAAAAAGTTGGGATCGTTCCATTTCAGGGCCAGTATTGAGGTAAAACTATGAAATGATGCTTCCATTTGAAACTGGTGCAGTCACGATTTGGTACAAAAGTGGCATCCTGGAAAGGCCGGTTGTGTTGTTGCTAACGTTACATCTCCAGTAGTGGAGAACAGCATCTGTGCTGCAGCCTTACTACCAGATATTATTACTATTTAAAAAGTAAACATAACAGTAGTAACAGATTAGTGATAATATTCTGTTCACCCTTTAGTTTGATAAAACCTGTTACAATACAGGAAACAAAATGGTTCCTTCTCAAACTAACAGTGGACAACAGTAGACTGCAAATCTATGTAATCAATATTTTTCTTTGGTGTTGCAGGTTTTTCCTTCATCAGTATTGTCTGCAGCACTGAAGAAGGTGTTCCAGGAGGGCCGTGTAGCAAACCATGCATCTTAAACTATTAGCTGATTAAACTAGACAAATTTTCAATTTCTGAACAAGTATTTACTCGAATCAAAGTTTTATTTTGATTAAAGTTCATTCACTGTGAATGCTAAATCCCGCAGTCATTTGAACACTCACATAATTATTTGCCATGTGAAAAAGAAAGCATCCTATTTCACACCAGTGGAGCAACAAATATTAATAAATGCACACTACAGGCAAACACTTTGGAAAACAGTAGCATGTCAGTGGCAGTGAGAGTGTTTTTGTGGAAAAGCAGCGCTGACAGCGTCACACAGCCCTACTGTTGTTATGTAAAGTGTGCATCAACACACTTCCTAAACAGCTGGTAAAATGGGTGGTTTGTTATGCTCTGTAATCCTGCGGATGTAAAGCCTGCTTGGCAGCAAATAAAGATGAAATCCAAAAGCATAGTTCACCCTGTCAAGACATTTTGCCTGTATCCAAGCTTCCTACCCACAGTGTTATACGCTAAGTTACACATAAACAGAATTGGATCCATCCTTACATTCAGTATTGTGACCCATTTCCTAGTCACACTCAAGATGTGGGCTTGGACTGATTTAAATCAGTTCCATTAGATGTGATTGGATCCCTCATGGCGGGATACAAACCTATGAACAAATATGGAGCTTCAGAGGGTTCTTTAGTTTGAGCACATGTACTCCTCACTTATCCTTGCTGTGAGATCAAGAGGAGAGGGATAAGGGTTAAATTAATAAACTTGACCTCAACTACATTCTTTGATAATATGAAAAAAGTTTTGGCCAGCATAAATCTTTAATTCTAGCCTCATGAGTCTCAGTTCAAAAGTTGAGTCCACTCTGGGCAACAGATTTAGAAACAGTTACTGATGATCTAATTTACTCTACATGCAAGACCTGAGGACAATCTGATTATTGTTATAAACCTAAATCCAACATTATTGTTCATATTCATCACAGGAAGGTGATGAAAGGCTTATATAGCCATTTCTACGTCTTCTTTCTCACAATGGCTGTACATTAATGTGAGGAGGAGGGCCCACCCACCTCCACATCACTATTTAGCAGAATAAGACCTCAATTTAAAACTATATGAAAAGCAAAAGGTAAAAGAAAATGCCTGGAGAACCTTAAGCTTAACTGACGGTCATTCCTATCTACTTTTCTACTGCCTCTAAAGCTTCATTCACTGACACAAATGGGAAAATGCTATCTGCGCATGGAGCATAGCAGACTCCACATCAGTCAGAGAAATAGGTTTTACCAGAATAAAACTGAAGGTGAATGGAAGAGTGTACATGATGTTAACTTCAGTAGCAGAATATTAAAACATTTTGTCACTGAATTTCTGGGAACAGAGAAGACCTACAAATCTAATTAAATGAATTAGTCTTCATTTGAAGACAACTGGAAGTTTGTGGTGTGCAAAATGGACAATGATCTTGGGAAAATGCAGAACAGACAGTTCTGTCATGTCAACATGAAGGGGTGGAAGGGTATTTTTTTATGGTCCTCAGGATTGGCTTCACTTTCTTGGGTGATCCTCAATCTCAAATAGTCTGATAGTCAAATCAGATATGATACTGGTGATTCCAGACTGGATTACCTCACAAACTAATGGATAGATTGCCATGAAAATTTGGTATGGACATTCACAGGGTACATCTCATGTGTCTTATAAGATTGTTCTGGGTCGACCGAAGACATGGGACATTTCAGGTCTCCTATATCGGCTCTGAGGACTGAGGACAGTGCTGGAGGAGCCATGACTGAGAAGACAGGAGACCATGCTTCGCGGAAGTGTTTTTGTAAAATGACATGCTTCTTTATCAGAAATCAGCTGCTGATTGGATGGTTCAGATGAATGATCTGAGGAAAGGAGGTCTCATGTAGTTAATAACGTGTTTCCTCAAGTCCTTCCTCCTCGTTTTCCTTGCATGTTCTGAACCCCTTTATAGGTTAGCTGAACCGAGTAAGAGTAGCCTGAGGTCCAGGGAACCACCACTGATGCAAGCAAAGAGTGTTTACAGTATGTCACAACTAAACACACTAAAAGCATATGCAAATAACTTATTTAAATAGCCAGCGCTATTTCAAACAATGTAGACAAATTAAAACAATAAATAGAATAAACGCAACAAACGTCTGTGCGCTTTATTGTGGGAGAGTTGTAGTGCAGGTGGATTGAGAGGCCAAGAACAGAGGGGAATAGCTGTGCACAGGCTCTCCAGCATCCTACTGTACATGCGCTGGGCAGTTCACTCAGGTCCGCCTTCATCCTGAGGGTCACACTGTCACCTCAGCAGAATGCAGCTGACCATTTCAAAACACTGGTCCAGGCCCTACTCTTGACTCCTAGGACATAATAGTTGAGTCGGCTGAGCAGTACTCATGGCTTTGTGGGCACAGTCCTCCACTCTTCCCACCGACTGTCCTCTTGTCACTCCTCCGCACATCTCCCGCAACCACTGTCTTTATGCCCAACCCCACACTGTATGTGAGTCACGCTAATTAGCCAGAGAGGTGGTTACAATCTCCTCACTGCTCACAGGAAGTCAAGACGCCTTTAGCAAATTATCACCATTAATAAAAAAATAAACATATCTTAAAACATGCAATCAAATAAAAACATAAATACATAAAATAAATAACCACAAGGGAAATGCATGACACAGGCATAAAATTCACACCAATAAAAAGTGACTAAACCCTTGCCCTGTGGCATAATATTTCAGTACAAGGTTTATTTTTCTGGTAGACTAACTGCTTACCTGTGGGTCTGCTTTGATTTGTGATCAGATGAGACACAGAAATCTGGTTTTTAATCCTTGTTTTTAGCTTTTATTGACAATAAAAATAAATACCACTGTTATTGAATTGGTAAAGAAGTTACTTGCTTGGCTGGAAGAATTGTAATGACAACAAATTAAAAGTTGAGAACAGGCTTTAGTACCACAGGCATGCATAAAACATGACTGTCACCACTGGGTGATGTGAAATTTTTTCCACTCTTACCTCTCACCTTGGCCTGTCTTCTGCTAACAGCAGGATGAGCTTGTCCAAACAAGTTAAATTCAGAGTGGTGGTGCACCTGTCAGACTCAGAAGATCGTTGTAGCCGGTTCAAGTGTGTGTTATTTTTTTTTTTAACGTGCATGAAAATTCATAATTGGGCTTCTGTGGAGCTGACCTTAGTTGAGCAAGCAACACCCACAATTTAGACTTTGGTAAAGTACTGATCAGTCAAGCAAGCATGCCCCCAAACACACTTCTCTCTGAGTTTTAACCCTGCTCTTAATTAAACTGTAATTTTGTGACTTTATGAAACAACTAAAGAAATGCAAAAAGAGTACAAAGAGACATAAAATGACCACAGAGACACAAGGCAGATGTGTAACTCGGTGTCAGCATCTAGGGAGGCGCTGTGGAGCAGTGGTTAGCACTGTCACCACACAGTAAAACGATTTTGGGTTTGAACACGGCAGCTGACTGGGACCTTTCTGTGTGACGTTGGCATGTTTTCCCCATTTTCTCCAAGTTCTACAGCTTTTGCACTCAGTCTAAATTTACTGGCAACTCTAAACTGCCTGTAGATGTAAATGTGAGTGCTGTATGCGGTGGAAGTCAGCATAGTGATCTGAAGCTGCAGCTCAGCCACCTGAAGGCTCAAAGTGTTCATTCAGAGATGCCCACCGCCTCAGCTGCTTGGCCATACTGTACTTGTGTTGCTATGCTGTTAGATTAACTCAAGCATTGCCACTGAATCTGAGTCTGACAGCAACAATTACAGTACTTTCACAATCCCTTAAATCACACATCAAAACAATTGTAGGTTTTAATGGAACAGTGAATGACCTTCCTGACTCAGTCTCTGTTACACACTTTCCTTGCATGAGATTCACTGTTTCTTTTGTTTATTGTCAAGCAAAAAGACAAAAAATATGTTCTACACAGGCCTGTATATACAGCATACTGTACATAATCTGAGGGCAGGATGTAGAGAGTCTCATTAAAAATAATTGCGTAGTGGGATAAGTGTTTGTGTTGTTATGCACATAATTGTCTGAACTAATGACCTGAAAGGAATAAGTTCTGAAATACATATTGAGACACACAGAGGAAAACATGGCCATGTGACTGTATTTCCTGCATATGTAAAAATGGATAATCTAATTAATCCAGATACCAGAAAGAGATTTTAGCATTTGTAGCATTTAGCAAATAAGAAATGCAAAATTAGCAGATGATCTTAAAGGCACTGATAACCACTGGTGTGGTTGATGTTTTAAAACACTTTCGCACAAGCACATACAATACATAACATTTTTTGACATCTCTTGATTTTTTTCTTTCTCCAGTGGCAAATGAAGATGGAGAGAGCTCCACCAGGCCGCAGGCCAGTTTTGGACGTAAGTTCACTCTTTGTCTTAATAGCCAGTTCACTAAATTCATTCATTCTGAAGTAGTTTCTTTTATTTTTATTATTAGTATTAATGCGTTATTTACCCCCAAATTAATGAGATAGTAGTTGCTGAGATTTCTCGCCACCTGAGTAAAATGGAAGTGAATGGAGTTCACACAGTAAAATAAAATCATTTAAAATGAACTCTGCAATGTGAATTTCAGGAAATTGTGTGTTAATAATGATAATCCATCCCACACACCTTGCTGTCAGGAGATTTCATCAGGAATGTTTCCTAATAAAGATAAAAAAATAAATGATGCAATTGAAAAAGAAATGAAATGGAAAAGAATAAGAAAAAGTATAGTTTCAGAATCAGAATCAGCTTTATTGGCAAGGTGTGCTGGAATTTGACTCTGTTACAGTGCCTCTAAATGTATATTACAATGTTCTTCTGTAAGGCAACAAGTAAATAAGGTAAAACTGAGAGAACACAAAAGAATGTGCAAACAAGAAAAAGGAATGTGCAATATAGAAAATAAAAATAAAGTGCTTATAAATATAGAAACAATCTACAGTGACCTGTAGTGCCAATCAGAGGGGAGTTCAAACAGTTTGTGTCCAGGGTGTGAGGGGTCTGCAGGGGTCTTCTCTGCCCTCCATGGAGGACCCGCGAGGTGTACAGGTCCTCCATGCAGTGTCACATTTACTTTACTGGGCTCCTTGAAACTTCTGTAAATTGCTAACTTTATTTGAGGATCTGAAAATGGTTTTTCCACTGATAAATTTTAACAAACCCTTTTTAAAGAAAGTCTATTTGTAGTTGTAGTAATACTTACTGTATCTACGGTTCAGTAAGTGTATGACTTCAAATGACAAACTAGTGCTGATATCATAAATCCACATGGGGGCAGCATTACATAGGTACTTATTTGTTTTGCCCCCCTCTGAGTTACTGAAAAGACTTGTACAGTACATTCAGTGGAGATTTAACTATTAGGTTTTTAAAATAATAAATAATGGAATCAAACAAATGAAAGCTTGATTTACGACACTATACTACAAGACTAACACTGCCAAGGCTTTTTTTTTGCTTGCTTTTGTTTGTTTTGCAGGCTCAAAGTCTCAGAGCGCTTTGTGGAATGCCATCACAGCAGGGATGGGGATCAAAAGCAAAGAGGAGAAGAGACTCCTGAATGACCCCCGAACTCCTGAAGAGATTCTGGCTGACGACTTTCCTGGAGCAGATGAACCAGATGCCACTGAGAAGACTGCCATCAGGTTTGCTGCTGTCACTGCATGTGTCTCTGCAATAATGCCCAAAAATATATATGTTGAATCCTGTGTCAGGCTGCTATGCTGATTACTTTACTTACACTGGTGTAATTTGCATACTACCGGCATACCTCTTTAATCATACTTGACATAGGGAGGAAACAAAGTAACGAACATGTGTTTGATGAGGCATCATTCTGCACTGTGTATTTGCTAGCTTCTATGGAGAGGATAATGTTCTGTCTGACATTTGGCGTTCTTGATACACACAAATGCACGCACTCTCTCTCTCACACACACAGCTAATTGCTGTGCATGGCTGCTGACCTCAAGGGACATGGGCATGATTGACTCCACCTTGATGACGAGGCCGTCAAATCACCATTAACATAAATTGTTGTAACTTTTCGAATATCAAATGTCTTTTAACGCCTGATTCCAATTAACCTTGATGGCTCTGAATACTGTTACAAATCCTGCAGATGGTGGGGAGTGGGCATTTGTCAGAGGATACTAAATATGCTCCTAGTAATTGATAATGAGCTTGTGATTGTATGCAAAATAGACGAGGAGTTATAGCAAGCTGACCTGGAGAGAGAGTTTTTTAACATGTTTGTGTGGCAAGCAGTCATCATCATCATCACCATTATCTTTATTAGCAGATTTAAACTTCCATTAAAAAGGCACACATCACAAAAATACAAAACAGCAAAGACAACAAGGGCTGAACACAACCATAACAACAGGGATTTTCATTTTATTGGGTTTGAAGTTGTTGAAATTCCATGTGACTGCTTGCCTCATTTTCTTTTTCTGCTTTCCAAAGTTTCTCTGCGGTAACAAACAATTCTTCTCTGGGGCTTCTCTTTGCTATCTCAAATTACAGTGCCGTTGTTTCCTGCCATAATCATCCCCAGAGCACAGGTCCTTTTTTATTCCACAGTAGGGTGGTGACAAGTAGAAATTGATTTTCCACCCGACTGGTCACAGCCCGTTCTTTAATTTAAAAGCTACAGCCCAGAATTTAAATAAAAACAGGGCATACACAAAGCCGCTAAAAGCACTCTCACTTTCCATAGAGGAAACAGTTCATTTGTCCACAGAGGCATTGACTTATTCCAGTGTCATATATTAAGATGTAGCTTAAGCTTTATTAATCAGGCTGGGGAACTAATGGCAAGCATGAGCCAAATACTTCTAAATCTTTGGCTGAGGCTGGACAATTTGCATAAGTGTCTACTGCCCTGCACAGGAATGATTAATTTCAGTGGAACTAACAGTTTAAAGATGGGTCAAATATGCTTTCCCTGCCAATTTCATGTTTATTAAAATCATTTGCTGTAGCAAATATTGCCTATAGAAAAGGGCAATAGCATATGATTCACAGTAATCATACCCCTAGTGGGCAGCCATCCTATTCCTTATGTAGTTGTATGCGAAACAGTGGTTAATAGTGAACAAATCCACAGGGAGTTACTCGGATCAACCACTGTATGACAAATGGAAAGATTGTGTTCCAGGGTGATTAAATGACAGTGGGATAGCAGTAATCTATAAAATGATTAGTGATGTGTCACCTATGAGGCAAGGGTTGGCTGCTACCCTCCAGGCAATGATAATTAGATTATATTGGAGAATGAAGAGAGATCACATGATGTATAGCAGGTGGAGTGACAGTGAGTTAGTTAAAGGACAGGAGGTACTGACTGTCATAAACCGGGGTTGAATTAAGGTAAAAGTCAGCTGAGATTAGGTGAATATGGTGAAACTGAGACAAATCTTACTGTATTTTTAAGTCTTGCACTATTTTGATTAAACCCCACAGTCCATTTCCCTTCAAGTATGCAAATGGATAGTTTAATGTGCTCAGCTGGCTGCAGTCTTCCACTCAATTTATGACTTTACAAAGCTGCTTGATTTTCTTTTTACCTTTTCCCAGTTATTTTCAGATCAGCTGAGTGGCTGCCTAATTCTTTGGGTACATAGCAGCTGCTGAAATTGTGTTGGGATTGCATCTGTTGCTGAAGCACAGTTGAGTGCATGCTTAGTCACACAGCAAGGGACAGGAGACAATATGGAGCCATTAGTGTATAAACACATGCTGACTCATTGTGTGGCTGGTGTCATGCTGTTGTTTCTGCTCATTAGGGGCACCTTATGCATTTTTCGGACTATGTGGTGCCTCGAAACCAGCCATTTTATGAATGGCATCATGCATAGCAGACTGCTATGTCATAGTTTAACCTAGAGTCCACAATCACTCACTATTTGTCACTTGTTTAAATTCTGATGTTTTACCTGTTGGTTGACTAATTGGTGTTTTTTTTTTCTTTACATGAGCTTTGAATTTTCACCATCATTTGAATCAGCAATTTCTTCTCTTCCAGTTTGATTTGTTTGATTGATTTGTGTTTCCATTTATAATTACACCTCTGGCATAAAAGTCAAATCTTTAAGGGGGGAAAAAACCCAAATACAAAAGCTATTTCCACTGTGGTCCCAAGAAAAGGGGAGGTGAAAGGTGTTAGATTATTACTCAGTAGTTAAAATGACCTTTTTATAAATTGTATACATCTGTTTGCGCCGTTGTTATTTGAGGCTAGGGTGTTTGTTAACCATGGTAAAACCTGCAATTACACATGATGATCGGCCTATGTTGTAAAAACATATGCACTTATAATGCAGATAGAAATAATCTAATGGCAGGTCCATTTGTAGAAAAGTAGAATGGTAATAAATGCATAAAAAGTCCGTATAATTGTTAAAGAATTATCCTTTTTATTTTTTCAGCAAGAACACATAAAATATCACTAGTAACAAAAAGGTTGAATTTAATAGCTATCAAATAAATAAATTTGATAACTAGATACATTTTCATCCAGTAGTAACAAGCAAGATTACAATAGTGACAAGTAGCTTAGCAAACACTGAGTAATGGAAAAATAATGTATGTGTGGCAGTGACTAGTGCATCGGAGGGCAAAGTTGCCTTTCATGTCTTTGGCAGTTTGTTCTCAAACATAGTTATACACAGTATCTTCCAAAATATATAGATATTTACAGGCCTATATTATCACAGATACACATATCCACACAGGCAGCTAAAACCCAGACTGTCCTGTCTGGTCAGCTGTATGATTTATCTGCTGGTTAATTGGATGCTGTGTGCTGCCGTGAACTTTACAGTTGATTAAGACTGTTGTCTCCACTGTGGCAACCCACAGTTTTAGAGGTTGACCCCTGCTTTGGCTGAAGCCGCAGGTTTATAGACCCCTGCTGACATCCCTTGTGCAGCACCAACGTCCATCACTAGCCTCACTAGCCTGCTAATGAGCCTCTGTTAGCCAGTGTGACTGGAAGCACATGGGCAAATGGCAGAGCTATTTGTCAAGATGATTGAGGCTTGACCTCAAGGTATGCTAAAGAACTGCTCCACTGCTGTCTGACATCACATAGTGTTGGGCTATGATATACAGTATAGTTTGTAATATATTATTATTTATAAGGAATGGAAACAGTTTAACTTTTAGAACAAAAATCAATTTGTAAAATCCTAACAAAAACTGATGATCAAATATTATAACATATCAGGTTTTACTAATTTTAAAAATGGCTTTCCCAGAAGAGAGGCTACAGTGTGTGTTTGCATTAACATCTGCTATGTTAAGGTCAGTCCATTTTTAAATGGCATTTTTGGGAAATTACCTTTAGTACTGCCAGTCTAAAATAAGAGCAACACCCATCTCCCGACCTGTTTACACCTGTAATCTGCTTTTAGCTCTTTGCTTGGGTTATCCAGTCTGTGTTTAGGCTATGCAGTTGCCTCCTGACGGCTCTCACTAATACCTTGAATCAAAACCCCTTCTGGAGCTGTAGACAGCACTTATTACTACCAAGCTCAGACAGCCCTCTGTGCTCTACACGTTAAATGTGAAGGGTAAATAGTAGCATTTAAGTAGGAGCTTGTGAGGGGAGTATAGCATTTAGTAAGCCAAAGTGATAGAATAGGCAGCAGGTGATGAAGTGGTTAGCACTGTCACCTTGCAGCAAGAAGGTTCTGAGTTCAACCCTGATGACCCCAAGGCCTCTCTGGGTGGAGTTTGCATGTTCTCCCCTGAATTTTATTGGGGTACTCGGTTTCCTCCCATAGTCCAAAGACATGCAGCTTAGGTTAACAGGTGACTCTGTGAGTGGTCGTCTGTGTCTATGTGTCAACCCTGTGACACATGACGGTGACCTGTCCTGGGTATACCTCGCCCAGTGCCACCTGGCATTGGCCCCAGCCCCCCAGCAGCCCTATAACAGGATAAGCAGTATAGATAATGGATGGATGGAACAAATCCAGTATATTTGGTGGACTGATCCAAATCTATATGTATTTGACTGGTGGCCAGGGATATGGTTTCCATATTTTGGCACATCACTGTGCTAACATGGTCACAAATTTTGAATGGGTGATGGTGCTAGATGAAATATCAGGCAATCATCTTGATGATCATCCAATAAAACTTTGTACAAATCCATTAAAAAATGATGACATATTTTACTGAATTACTGTAGAAAAAATGTTGACCTGCTGTGATTAGAATTTCTCTGGTAGGAACATACAGTATGTATATATGAACATGAATATATGTGTGTTGCAGATTTCATGACAATCATTGAATAGATTACCATGAATTTTGCCACATTTATTGTTGATGGATCCAGGTTGTAGGAATACAAGCTGTCATTACTGTGGTAGCATCTCACTTATAAACATGCGTAATACTATGAGTATGACACACGTCACCTTTAAAGCACTTTTGCCAAAGAAATATGTCTAATAGATCCTGTAGAATACAGGCCTTCATGCATATGTACAGTGACTCCACAGCACTTTCACATCCAGACTGTGGAGGTCAAACAGAAGCAGTATGTTAGTAGTAGTAATGTTATTTTTTCCTCAAAACTGTCACAGCCAGTGTCAGACTAGCGTTTATAGACTGAATAATTTCCACATTCACA